CAATCCTGCCAGGTCTAAAAGTATTAGTACCCCTACTTTGCAGATAAGGAAATGGAATCTCTAAGGGGTTTGCTCATAGTCACATAAGTATTAAGTGCTTGAGACAGAATTAAACCCAGTTCTCTTAGTCTATAGTACTCTGTACTACACACCATGTTGACTCTGAGAGTATAAAATAGCAACTAGTCTGTTTCTCAATGTGTATTTTCAATAAAAGGCACTCCACACATGCTTCCCAATTGTAGTATGCCTCATCCCCACTATGACCTGTGGGATCTTACCTATTATTTCTTTTTCATATATTTCATGGTCAAAAAGTAAAATGGAATATGTTAACTGATAAATAATAACCATTCATAGTTACATTATATTTTTCTGTCTACCACAAAAGAACTCTGACAAAATATGACACATAGTCTACCTGGCACTGCTTCAATACCCAATTCAAATTTCAATCTGTCCAAGAATCCCTTAATTAGAAGTGATAACCTCCCTCTGCTGAATTCTCATAACATTCTTTTTTCTTCTGCATTTTTTATATTTTATAGATTAGCTATGTCTACATTTTCTAGGATCATGAATTCATAGCAGCTCATTTACATAGGATTTGGTTAAGTTCTTTGCATTCATGATCCTCACAACCCTAGTGCAATCTCCCTCCCAATCCCAGTAAGCAGGCTGAGACTCAAAAATCATTTAAAAACAAACATTGTCTAAAGTCACACAGCTATCTTATTTTGTCTCCAAAGTCCAACGGGTTGCTTTTTTTCTTTCCCATTACTCCATACTGCCTTTCCTTGAAGTTAGGGGCCCTCTGATTTGTCTTTTTGATGATGAGGAGGAGGAGGATAGCTGGACTTGAAGTCAAGAAGGCTTAAGTTCAAATCTGGCCTCAGACACTTAGTAGCAGTATATAATTCTGGGCAAATCACTTAACTCTGTCTATCTCAGCTTATCTGTAACATGGGGATAATAATAGCACCTACTTTGATATATATGATATAAAAATTAATTTCATATAGTACTTTAAGGTTTGCAAAACACTTTGCAAATATTAATGATTATTTCATTTACTTTCATAATAACCCTAGGTGATAGGTACTAATATTATTCTCATTTTAGAGATGAAGAAATTAAGGCAGCAAGGGATAAGTGACTTGCCCAGGACCACAGAGCCAGTTAAGTGTCTGAGACCAGATTTTAACTTAGCTCTTGTCTACCTGACTTCAGGTACAGTGTTTTATCCACTGTACCACCTACTAATCTCAGCATCTAGAGCAATGTGTTAAAGAGTAGATACTTAAATAAATGTGTACTTGATGTTTGCCGCTGAATGGACACATACAAACTGGTTAGAATTCTGCCTTTCCCCCCCAAAGTTTTATGCAAAACATTGCATTCCATTTCAATAGAAGAAAAAAAGTACTTTTCAATTTCAGCTGCCTAAATTACATGGCACCTGTATGAGACCAAATTAAAATAAAGTCAAAACTTTCTGACTGTTGAGATAATTATAATTCAAGAAACTAGTCAAGTCCTCCAAAAAAGGAATTATATTAGGTCCTCAGAATCATTGAATCTTAGCATGATTTTATATGAAAAAAAAATCCATTTTTGTTTTCATGGTTTTCCACCACAGTAGATAAGTTAAAAAAAAAAAGAGAGAGAGATTCTGAAACTGGTAATTCAATGGGGTTACCATAAAAAAAGGCAGAAGTGGCTGGTTGACTCTACCATTAATCTAAAGTGTGTTTCAAATGGAAGGATAATCAAGGAGTGCTGTTTTACAGAGCATAATTAAAACTACAGTGGTAGAAGATGAGAAGACTAAGTCTTGGATGTTGATTCATGAAAATCATCTGTGAAAAGGGAAACCTCAAAAGGAATAAAATATATCTTATTCATCAAAATGACATCCAAAACAGAATTCTGGTTCATAGTTGAAGGGTGAAGAGGATGCCTGCATCATTAAGTTTCTCTGGGATCGCTGGCATCATTCAGATAAATGGAAAAATAAATCGAATTAGAGAGACAAAAATTGTAATCTAGGCCCTGTGAATTGTATAAAAAAGATAATCCATAAACACTTTGTGTTAAGTGATTATTTCTAAACCTACACAAGCATATTTCATTCATTCTTTCAGCAAACATTTGTTGAAGACCTATGTGCAAGATGAAGTAAACAGAAAGCTGAAGAAATGACCTTCAAGTCAACAAGACATTCAAATCTCACCTGACATACTAGCTATGGGGCCTTCTCAAGTCACTTATCTCCTCTGGCATCCCAGGCAACTGTCAAAAACCATGATTTGCAGAACAATTACAGACTTACATTGGTAAATTTCCTAATTGAGAATTTCCTATAACCAATGTGTGTGGTGGGGGGAGGGTTCACAATAAGATGCTAACTGGAGCAGTAGATAGAGTGCTCAGCCTGAAGTCAGAAAGATTCATCTTCCCGAGTTCAAATTCAACTTGAGACACTTACTAGCTATGTGACCCTGGGCAAGTCACTTAACCCTGTTTGCCTTAGTTTCCTCATCCATAAAATGAGCTGAAGAAGGAAATGGCAAACCACTCTGGTATCTTTGCCAAGAAAACCCAAAATGAGGTCAGTCACACAGAGATGGACACAACAGAAATGACTGAATAACAGCAAAAGATGCTAGTGTGAAGAAAAGTCTACAAAGCAAAATAATAAACCAAAATATTCCATATGAGTTAAATACTTTGAGAGAAGTAAAAATACAGGTAGATAGGACACAAAATGGCTACTTCATACATATTTATATTTATAGTAAGATGTCAGTAAAGTATAATGGAAAGAGTGGGAGGGCAGGAATCTAGAGAACTTGGTTCTAGTCCTTGTTCTACCCCTTCCTAGTTTCTGTGCCTTTGGGTAAGTCGATGAACTTTCTCTGGCTTACAGCATTTTCATTTGAAAAATGAGCAGGACTAGATGGTCTTTTAAGTCTTTGTCTAGCTCTAAATTCTATAAAACCATGTAAGTTTTTTAAGGCCCAATTATTGTAATCAATGGAAAGTAAGTAGTATTAGTGCCATCTTCCAGATGGATGAAAGGAGGCACAGGTGTTATTCTCACTAACTCACTCATACCCTAGCTAATAAAGACTTATTACATTTCTCCTATACATAAGAGTAGAGACAGCACAACAACACCTGGTTCAATTCCCAGGGGCAATAAGATTTTGATTTTAACCCAATGAAAATTCTTACTTTTTAAAAAATTCCTTTCTGAACAGCTAATGAGAGAAATTTAAGGGACCAGAAGAGTGGTTTATTTGAGTAAAGTAGGAAAACCATGATGAGAGTATTCTACATAATTACATCATGGTATAATGCTGTGGTTAGTTTTTAAATATTTAATTGCACTTTTAAAACTGTATTTGTGGCCCAAGGCACTTTACATTAAGGAGTGTAATTTAAAGTAAAATGCTAGTAAAAATGAAATAAATTCAATATAAAGTACTGAAAAAAAGCATAATTAGGAATTTCCATGCAAAACTGATAGAATAGTCTAAGGATGTCCACACTATAAAGTGGACAATCCTGGTACTATTTAGATGTATATCATAGTGCTACTGCTACAGCAAAAACTAGAAGTTCAATTACTGAATGCCTTTAAAAAAAAGCCTCAAGTCAAATCCCAACATATCGAAGAATTAACACTCAGATAGGCTTCTTAGAATTAGGCATTTTCTCCAGTATAAATGGCAGTGATTTTCAAAAAAAATTTACATTTATTTGGGCCTTAAGGTAAGTGTACTCCTTCAGTTATGCTTTACAAATTTTATAAACTTGTTACTTTGAAAAGATCATCTAAAGACCATAAGATTTGGCAACTCCATAGGATGTTGAAAACGGAAACGAATTTTCTGTAGAAATCAATGAACTTAACAACAGCAGCCATAGCCATTGTTAATTAAGTGAAGTATCACAGCTTCACCCTGAAATCTTAGGGATCCGCACTCGGGAGTTTTAGGGTGGGGGAGGTATTTGGGCACGGCACACCCAGCATCAGACGTGGCAGTATCCTGGAGAAGTTTTTCTGAACTTTTGAGTCATGAGAATATCACATGCAAACAAGAGCAACAATACGCACAGCCCTTAAGTCAACAGGTTCTTTAATGAGATGGTGTGTGGTTAGTGCGTGGCAGTTGGATTTCCTTCCTCCTGCCAAGAAGAAAATAACTCTTCCCGATAAAACTGGAGAGTGCGTGCAGTTTTAGTTTGGGAAGCCCACCCAGAAGAGTAGTGTGGGGATGAGAGGTGGACTGTTAGCATCCAGACCGCAAAGGTCCTTCCAAATCACTCAAGAAACCACTTAAACGCTCAGAGTGGCCAAGATTTCATGCCCACGAGTTGTCTGGGGTCTAGTTTGGAAAGCTGCACAGTCAAGCTATCCCTTCATAGGCACTAAAGAACTCGGACATAGGAAAAACTGAGGTGGGAGACGACCCACCTGTTCTCTAGGTGGAAGGCACTACCTAACTCTTGCACTCCCTCTCATGAAGAAAAAGCCTGACCCCAAAGCCTTTCTACTAGAGGACCAGTGTACGTGTGGGTGTGTGGGTCTCCTTAAAGGTCTGAGGGTTTGGCCGAACGGTTCAAAACTTCTAAAGTTGCGCCTGACCCCGACGCTCGCCCTCGGAGTAGGACAGTCTGAAGGAGTCAGTTGGAGGCAGGCACAGAGAGTGAAGGGGTGGGGGTGGGGGGTGCGGAGGACCTCGGTCATCATTCAGCCACTTTCCCCTTCTCCTTATCCAGGGGTGAGGAGGGAATGCAAGAAAAAAAGGCCCGGACGAGAGCTGACCCTGACCCCGACCCCAATGGGCCTCCGGGCACGACCTCCTGCCCACTACCCACCGCTTCTCTCAGCACTTCAGGGGATCCTGGGGGCTGCTGCCCGCCGAGCTTCCTCCCCAGCCCCCGGCTCGCCTTCCTCCCCCTCTCCCGCCGCGCAGTCCCAGCTGGCTCACCTGGGCGGGCAGCTTGGAAGAGGCAGCGGTGAGGTGCGCTGGACGCGGTTCAGGTGCCAGGTGCAGGTGGCGGCGGCAGCCGCCGCGGCTTCGGTTGCTACTGTTACCGCTCCAGACCGAGCGCCGGTTCCTCCTCCTCTTCCTTCTCCCTTCCCTCCCGGCCGGCCGCGTTGCCAGGAGAGGCCGGGTCGGGGCTCCGCTTCTTCCGGGCGGCTCCCAGGTGAGCTCCAGCCTGCAACGTCGGCAGGAGCGAGCACCCTCCCCGCCCCCTCTCTCTCTCCCGTGCTGCGCCTGCGCGCCAGCACCTGCCCCGCCCTAACCCTTACCTGAGTAGCCCAGGTGAGAAATGAGGAGGGGGCCTGGGTAGGGAAGGGAGATCCGCGCCGGGAACCTCCACCGGTGGTTACGTGCCTCCTCTTCCTCCTCCTCCTCCGCCACGGCCGCCTCAGTCGCCGCCGCCCTTCTCTTTCTCCACCCCCGCCTTGGGCTGCCAGCGGGGGTGGCTCTCCCCTTCCACCCGCCGCCACCGAGAAACTTGTCCAGACCTGGTGGCACTAGTCACCCTGGGAACCGAAACAGCGGCGGGTCCGGGGTCCGTCGAGGTCCCGACTCCCCCTTTTACTCTGTGGCTCTTCTCGCGGAGTGGATTAGTTGGGGGTGGGGGGGGAGGGCGGGGTTGGGAGTTCTGTGGTTTAGGAAGCCTCTTTATCAGCAACAACAGATTTGAGGTTCATTCGGATAACTGAAGATTGAGTAGCTACTGCTGCAAATTCAGTTCATCGTCTACTGAGGGGAGCTGCCAGTTTAGTCTTTTTTTTTTTGATCACTTGACTCAAACGCAGTGCAGCTAGTGGTTTCCGTTGCTGCCGGCTGTCTCAGCACCCTGCGGTAGGGATGCTTTACCTCCCCCAAAAGTCTCTCCAAAAGGAACATGTGGGAGGAAAGACCACTGAGAGTTGGGAGGTGGGGAGGAGTTCCTTACCAGTGTAGCCCAGACTTCCTTGTCCCGGGTTGCAGTCCCAAAGAGAAAAGAATGCCAAGTTTAGAGAGCGCAGTTAGGAAGAGATTACCTCTCGTTGTTCAAAGGGAACCTGTGGTTTCCTCTTTATTTTGTGAAGCAAGTCTCTTCCAGATTTGGGTAGAAGCTTAAAATCTAATTTGGAAGGTGGAAGGAAGCTCACGCTCTAGGATGATGTTATTTAAAGACACTTATTTTTAAAACTTTTTTTTCTTTTTTCATTCCAATTTTACAATGGCACTTTAGGTTTTTTGTTATTTTGCCCCAGTGCTGGTATGATAAACATCACCACACCTTAAAAGTGGGCTTAAAATGACCTTTATAACTTCCTGTTAAACTTACTACCTCTTTAGATATGTGGTTCTATGTTAAAAGTAAATGGAAGTATGAATAGAAATAGCAGAAAATAAAGACTGGCAACCATTTCTTGTTTTTGGTGAGGTGATCCATTAAAAAGTAAATTATTTTTCCTATTACTTTTTACTCCCTTGCTCCTCTATAACCTAGATACAAAGTTCTATTCTAAGTAGAGTCAGGAACTCAGTACTAGACCAGTCTTAACAAATGGCAGTTTTTAGATTCCAGAGTACTGTACCATCTATAAAATTGAGTCTAAAGCATTTCTTTTTTTAAATTCTCATAAATTTTTGGATTCAAGTGGTTGTTTTCCGAGGGTTTAATGAAATAGGAGGTGGCTGTTAACCTCCCTAGCCTGGGGAAAGAAAAAAAAACTGGGAAAGGATAAGAAGTGGATAAAGAAGGCCAGGTTGGTGGTCCTTAAAGAGACAAAAGAGTATAGGAAATAGCAACTTTTTTTTTCTAGTGCAGTCATTGAAAATTAATTGGCAAAAGTGCGGTTAAAATATATCATTTAAGTAAGGGAGATAATTGTGTTACTGAATAAAATTTTATCTGACTCACAAATAAAAGTGTAACCCCAGAGGATATTTATATATTAGGATTTTTGAACATTCTAAATTTAATCAGCTAGATTATTTTTAAGTCTCATCCTGTTAAAACTTAGGCCATGACTTTGCTTTATTTGTATTTAATCATAAATATGAAACTATCCTTAATTATTCTTAAAAAATAGTAACATTTTGTTAGTTTATATTTAGTTTATAAACACACAGATTCTAACAAATTTTAGACTTGCAAGATGACAAGCAAGCATTCACAGATTTAGAGGAGCTGAGAGCCCAGGCTTGTTTCCCATCCATAACAATAATACCCCTTTGTGCTGTTGTAAGAACAGAAATACGCATAGATCATTGATATCATTTATTTGGATATCTGTAGATTTGCTTCAAAGATTCAGAGTACGGACTCACTCATGCCTGTACTCTTGTGTGATTTTTTGGTTTATCTTCTCCCATAAGAGGACATTATGAAAATAATTAAAACCAAATAAAGAATTCCATAAAGCAACAATTTTAGTGTATGAGGCACAAATATAAGATAGGAAAGCATCACACAGTTTAAGACAATCCTCTAGTTCAGAAAATATTTAGATAAAATACCATTTAAAAATAATCCTTAATTTAGGAACCTCTGTTGATTATAGGCCTAAAGAGTAGGCATTGCATTCCTAAGAAATTTTGAAAATATTCCAAATAGAATCTTTATAGGCATATGAAAGACTTAATGAGAAAGGAATTATTTCTATTAGTGAGTTTTTCTTCTTGAAACAGATAAAGGGGGGAAAATGAAAGGAGAAAAATGTAAATGACCAACCATTGAGATCCAATGAAAAACTCACAATAGCTCATTGTAATGTATAATGAAATGCATATAGTTGTTCAAAACCACTATGGCTAACTTCAGACATTTCTATCTCTGAATAGCGATTATGTACATCTAAAAAATTTTAGTGCACAATTCCATTCTGCAAAACTTTTATGATAAAATACAATACAGTGCAATTTCTACTTTAGTTCCCACATTGTATCTGTGGGAATTTCTACTTTACTTCCCACAAATACAATGGATATCAAAAGACAAGCTGAGAGATTTGGCTCAAAAATGAAACAGATTGAAGCAATTTCTACCAAAAGAAATGAGACTATAATGGAGATTGACTCAGAAGAGAAAAAAGGTTAGTGCCATAGCAAAGAGCTAGAAATATGAGTACTTTTTATAACTGTTCAGTGTGCCATGATAACGTTTTAAAACATTACAAACTTTATAGCAGTACTGACAGGAATAACTATTTGATACACAAACTGCTTGGGGGGCAGGGAGGGAACTTGTTTTATGCATAAGTTGTATTTGTAAGAATTTTTTTTTTACCCTGAAGAATATCAGGAAGGTATTCAGAAAGATTCACTAAAGAAGAGTTTCAGTTTCATTTTTTAAAAAATTAGCATAATTTTAAAAAGTCTTAATGAAGTAGACTAATATTCTACATATGTCTCACTACAACGTAAGTGGCACCTGAGGACGTTTTACTGAAAATGTCCTAGTGGTTTTCTATTATGTTTACTACAAAGATTAGAGAAGAAATCTAAATATCCCTTTTCCCATTTCCTTTTCCAGCTCATTTTACAGATGAGGAAACTGAGGCAAACAGGGTTAAGTGATTTGCCCAAGGTCACACAGCTAGGAAGTGTCTGAGGCTGGATTTGAACTCAGAAATATGAGTCTTCCTGACTCCCAGGAATAGAACAGAGAGGCCTAGTTCTCTATCTACTGTGCCACCTGGACCTGGAGTCAAAAAGACCTTATTGTTGTCATAAAATAAATTGTTCTGGTTCTGTTCACTCCACTCTGCATCACCACATACAAGACCTCCCAGGTTTCTGGCCTCAGATCCTTTGCTAGCTATGTGACTCTGGTGTATGGGGTGTTCAGGGCAGACTAGCACCTCTGGTGTGAGGGCTTGCTGAGTTCTTTTAAGGGCTGCTCATTCACCTTTGGTGTCCACCTTTCACTCAACTGTTACCTGTGACTCTAAGAAGCTGTAGCATGCACAGTGGCCACCATACCCAAGTTAAACCATCTCAGTATATGGCCTAAACCAGGGTGAGAGTAACCTACAAGCCTCAAACCTGTTAGTGAGTTAGAGGGATGTCTACCCCAAGATGTGAAGACATCCCCCAGCAAAATGAGTGGTTAAGAACAATTTCCTCCCATGGCCATAAAGGTAGCTGAAGCAGGCATTGTGGGGCACTTATAGCTTGATCAGACATGGAAGACACCAGGGTCATCTGCTGTTTCCCAGGCCATCGCCAATATCCTGACTTTTGTCTTGCTACTGGACTTAGATGATCAAAAGAGGGAGTGAGACTGACAACTTTGTGCAACTCTGCCTCACTTAAATCCAATTCATGTGCAAGTCAAGACATCACCCTATGATGTCATTGGTTCTCTTCAGAAACGACAAACAACAACAATCTAGGAATTAAGGCATTTTAATATGCCTAAAATATTAATAAATCGTGAAGGACATCCTACCAAGAAGTCAAATGCAGCAATTGTTATTGTTTGTCCTTTGTGCTTGAAGAAGACCAAAATACATCACAATGTCAGGGTCAATGTGCAGTGTATCTGGCTGTGGGTGATCATACCAAGATGATCTTGGAAGGCTCTAGTACAAAATAGCCACAAATGGTCTGTTTGATCATTTGGGGGGGAGATGCCTCCAAATTTATGTTCATGTTTCTTTTGAGCTACCACAATTCTGCTTTGCTTATAGAGCACAAACACAGCAGTACCATATTAGAAATGGGTTGTGTTTCAAAAGTTTACAAATTAGTTACTTGGAAATAAAAAATTCACCACTATTCACCACATGTTATTTTATAAATGGTGCATAGTTTCACCCGCTAATCCATAAAAGTTTGTTTAACTTTTAGTGTGTTAAATATTATACTGGCAGAAATCTAGAACCTACTCATGATAGAATGATACATTCTGAATTTTTGGGAGACTGTGGAAAGAACATTGCTTTGGAGTCAAATCCCAGCTCTCCTATTTATCTATCATCTTGGACCAGTCACTTTATCTCTATAGGCGGTGGCTTTGTTGTCTGTAAAATAAGAGGGTTGGGTTCAATGATCACTAAAGTCCCTTCCCATTCTAAAGCCTCCTATTCTGCCTAAGACCAGGGATATTGCCTCCCTGTTGACAATCTTTTCTAGCTCCCCACTCCCTGCTACAAGGGTTTCTCCACCTGCAGTTTAAACAGATTTTCCTAGATCCAAACTGCTGCTATTTATTCCCATCGCTGGAAGAAGAAACTCAAGGGTGATGGAGACTTGGGGAAGCATAGGTGGAGAGTGAAGTCGGGTGCCCAGGACCCCACTATCTTCTTGGTCTCTGCAGTTTTCGCTATCCTACCCTCTTCTTTTCTTTTGAGGGCTTTGCCTTACATCCTCCCTGGTTTTCTGCAGAACTGAAATTAGCCACTTCCAACCCTGTTGGGATTTTCCAAGGGGATTTTTTGCTGTTCATTTGAGTCTCTTAGGCTAGCTTAAAAAAAAATAGGTTACTCAAAGTCACAAGCAAATTCTTTGTGGTAGTAGTTTGCACGCAAAGGATCGTAGAATCATGGATACTAGAGCTGGAAAGGACCTTGGAAATCATCTGTTCCAAATCTCTCATTTTATAGAGCAATGAAGT